ACCCCACCCCCTGCCTGAACTGCTCCCCAAACAATGGATCTGTTGTTTGGCTGATAGTCCTCTTCTGCATGTGACCAACCTGTTTGTCCACCATGTGGACATATTATAAGATATTTTTCTTCTTTCTGCTGCCTTTCATTTAATTTGTGATTTGTGTTTTTTTATTGTATATATAATTTATTTAGTTTTTCATGAAATTAATAAATCATATAAAGTTTAGACATGTAGAGGGAATGCTGCACAACTCAAAGCTCCGCCATCACAAAGCATGTTGCCTTGTTCATTTTTGCATCTCTATCTTTGTGGTATGCATAAAATCAATGTTTTTCTTAAAATGTAACCTTTGACTTTGCTGTCTCTTTAAAGATAAGTGCATTTTCTACCTCCCTATTTTTCTCTGAGGGTAAAATTTGCAATAATGTTTGTGTGTTTACAATGGCAATGTTTATGTTTCCTTGTTTGACCCTGATAACTCTTCTGTCTTGCCAGTAGATGGTGCTGTGGATCTAGATGAGGAGGATATGAAGCAGTCTGTCTATGGTCAGGCATCAGACTGGACTCTATCCAAAAATGAAAAAAAAAATTACAAAAGATGTGTGAATAATTACTTCTGTTCTGTTTTTGATCTGTATTATTTTAGGACTGTGTTTTGCACTGGATCCTTCATCTGTCCCACCATCCCTCCATCTCTCTAACTCCTGCTGTACTGTCAGCTACTGTGGAGGTAGTCTTCCTGCTCTGCATCTTCAAAACCAGACCAGAGTTAACTCAGACTGTGTGTCCCTCCCTCATGTGTGTGCTGATGTTGTGATTACTCGGGGACAATACTACTGGGAGGTGGATGTCTGTAACAGCTCCGTCTACAGAGTTGGTAAGAAATATGACGGGGTTCATGCCAACAATCTCATTTGCTCCAGAAACTTTCACCATTAGTGAGTGAGACTGTGCTGCTTTAAGTGTACACAAACTTCAAAAGCAACTTGACTGGTTACAGATAACCTAAGATTAGATTAATAAGTCTTTAAAGGGATTCAGATCTTGACAAGCCGTTTGTTTCATAGAGCCGCTCAAAAGAGCAGTTTGATTTTGAATGTTACATCATTCAAAAATATTATTCATCCAAAAATCCATTCAAAAAATATTAAACAATTATTTTGCTTCTCTTTTCAGGACATTTAAATTAAAATGTGATTTTAAAAGACAGGTATCATCTGCAAACACAAGAGGTAATGCACTTTTACAAAAAATGTAAATCATTAATAGAAACAAAAGAGGTCTCAAAAAGGAACCCTGAGGAACCTCACAAACTAATTTAGCTGTAGAAGTTTGATCGTTAATATAAACATATTGTTTTTTTTCATGTAACTATTTTAAAACAATGTTTTGTGTTCTATTTAATTTTGTTTAAAATAATTTTAATTTACAGCATCCTTATTATCTAAATCTGTTGCAGTCTTGTCAATAAACTGTAGAAGTGTCATTTCTGTGACCATTTTTTTCTAAATCCATACTGAGGATTGTACAAAACTGTTATCAGCCAGATGTTTAGAAATTCTTGTATAAACTAATTTTTCAAGTTCTTTTGAAAACACAACACAAATCAGCTGTTTTAAGAGACAAAGACAGAACATTTTTAAGGGGCTCAGTAAAGGAGCTGCATGTTCAGAGGTTTTATTCAATTTTTAGTGTGAGCACTGATACACTAAACATATGTTATTAAACAGGTTTTGAGAAGTGTAGCAGCACATTAGACTATGTATTTATTTATTTGTTTGTTTGTTTATATTATACTTACTAAAACTTTGATTCCTTCCTGGTGATACTAAGCAATGGATACAAGTCTAAGCAAGTTATATGAGCAAAACAGCTTAGACCTTTAGATGGAATGCCCCTCTGGTTCAGGAGGGAGTTTTCACCTCAGGTGGAGAAGCAGAAGTAGGTGGGCAGCTTATTCATTTGCAGCGGCCGGATGGAGCAGGAGATGGATTGACTGATTGGGGCCCTTTTTTCATTAATGAGGGTTTTGCTTTAGTCGGTTGTGGTGAGGGAAGAGTTGAGTTAAAAGGCAATGCTCAAAATTTACTGTTCTGTGTTCCAACCCTCACCAATGGTTCTAAGGTTTAGATCATGAAAGAAAGAGATCCCAGATAAAATCAACCAAAATGAGTTTTTTTGAAGAGTGGCCAGGCTCAGAGAAAAGGTGAGGAGCTCCCTCATCTGGGCAGATCTGCTCCTTCATATCAACAGGAGTCAGCTGAAGTGGTTTGGGCATCTGATTAGGATTCCTCCCTTTGGAAGTTTTCCAGGCATGTCCCACTGAGAGACCCCTCGGGTAGACCCAGTATCACTGGAGGGATTATACTGCATATCTTCTCAAGAACACCTTGAGGTCCCCAAGGAGGAGTTGGAAAATACCATTGGGGAAAGCGATGTCTAATCTGTTGCATCTGTGACCCAACTATGAACAAGGGGTAGAAGATGAAAAGGGAGCTGAAATGACATCTACACTTTGAAATAAGGACTGAAAGAGTCCAGAATTAGGTAATTATGTGTAATCATAGATCACATTTTTTCTGAAATGTTCTGAAGCCTGTGACACTAATTTTGCCTCTGAATAATTTATTTAGAATGTAATTTAGAATCAAATTTAAGACATAAATGTGCTTTGTGGCACAAAAAATGGAACACTTGATCATATGCCTTTGTTCTGACACATAATCACAGCTACTGAAATAAGAACCCTTCAGGCCCTGTTCATACTCGCCACTACCTTGGGGTGGTTTGATGGCAAGTGGACAGCTCTGACCAAGAGTGTTCATAATGTCAGAATGGTTTTGGGATCAATGTCTGTTGTTTTCTGCTTTGTATGCAGATTCACGTGCATCCATTTTTCACAGAGGGCTGTTCAACTAAGCATATCAGCAAGTCTGCTGATTTACCTATAAAAAGGACAGTGCATTCAGACATTCATCCATTTTATTTACGGTACCTGCTTCTCCTTTCCAGGTCATGGGCAGCTGATGTCTATCTCCTGTGGTCATTGTGTGAGAGGCGGGGTACACACTGGACAGTCCATAATTAACCCAATCAGGTCTAAACCCAACCAGAACAAACATTATTAAATCATTAAATTATTTAAAAAGCTGCAGCATTCTAATAATAAATCCTAACTGTCTCCAAAAGACAGACATTTTTTTCATATAAATGTTTACAACAGATATTGTTAAGACTACCAAACATCATTGAATCAAAAGGATCCAGACCACCTCCAAAAGCAGTTTCAGAAAAAGTCCTATCAGTGTGCTGTGTGGTTGTTCACACTTAGAATCTGTGCTATAGTGAGCACATGCAGTTCAAAGGACAAGAACAAATTTTAATGCCAAGTGGGTCTTAGAATTAACAAGTTTGTTTGTTCTTTGCTATTCAGTAATTAGGTATTTTATTATTATTTATTGTTTGCTTTCAATACTATACATTGTGCTCAATATGGCAAATGGCGTATAGACTAAAAGTAATACCAGCAGCAGCAGTGGGAAAATTACGATAGGCCATAGTAAAGTTTCATCTTAGTGGTTTAACATTTTACCATTATAGGAGCTTAATCTAATAATTTGTTGTAGAACTTCTTTTATTAGAATCAAGAAATGTCGACTTATTAAAACTCCAAGGAAAAGTTGTGAGAAAGTTAAAATGCATTCTGAACATAGTTTTATTCAAACTCATTCAGTCACTGTTGCTTCATGTCTTCTCAGGTGTGATGTCGTTGGATGGTAGCGGCTGGTGGCTAGAGACAAACGGCTTGTCCTTCAGTGCAGTGTATGATGGGAGTTGTGAGACAGTTTGCACTGTCCCACCAAAGATCAAAACTCTGGGGATTTTCCTCAATGTTGGAGGGGGCACCATTAGCTTTTACAACCCTCTGACCCAGGAGCATCTTGCCTCTCTGCCCACCAGGTTTAGCCCTGCAGGTGTGCTCCCGTTCCTCAGCCTCGGTCAGGGCAAGCTGAGGCTGCGCTGTGGCCTCCCCCCACCATCTTTTGTGTTTCTAGGTAAGTCTTCGGCCTACAGAGGGCGCTGTAAGCCCAGTGGAGCTCAGTGGCGCAGTGATGTTTCCTTCCCATTAGTGAGAAGAGTGATAGAGAAATTTGAGAGGCTGGCATCCAATTCAGATTCAGACCCGGTGTCCAGTTTTGCATCTTCCAGTTGCAGTTTGATGTCTCCTCCAGGGGGTCAGACGTGTGACCCCCTCCCTCCAGAGAAGAAGAAAAAAAATTAAACTTGGTTTGGAAAAAAAAATAACTTCTAAGACTGTCCACACATGAACTTGTTTCCTTTTTAGCGACTTTTTTTTGACATTTCTTAAACTATTATCAGAAATACAACATTTTCTCTGTACTTTTTATAACTGTTCACTGTGTAAAACCAAACAGCCTATTTATTCTTCAAAAGAACTGCGTAAATCCAACTTTTATAAAAAAAAAAATGCACCATACAAAATGTCACAGAGAAGTGTCATACGTTGAAGACAACATAGAATATGATCCAGACTAATAATCTAGTAATCTTTCATCTGGAGATACGAGAACAACTTCATCGCAGGTATGGAGGACCGAAACTGACATCATTAAATTTAAAAGCAAAAATATACAAATAGACCAATAAAAATACATTTGAAATCCAAGGAGAACTTTTCCTTGTGTTTTATAATTTAATTGACATTCATATTTATTTTTCCAGCCTAATTTCAACAAATTAAATATTTTAGCACTTAATTTACATTTGACTGTTTAAAAAAATATATTATTTTTCATTTTACTTGCATTTGTGTCTCTTAATTTTTTTATTTGTTTTTAAAAAATTACATTTTATTGCACTCAAGGACACCATACACTTAAAATTCAGTATATAATGCAGCAAAACAGAAAAATGAATAAAACAACAAATGACAATTATGATAAAACATCGTACATAACATATGTGAAGGTGATGAGAGATGGAGGTTAAACTGATAATGCCTGTTTGAAAAGAAGAGTTTTAATAGGTGATTTAAAAATGGAGATGGTGGTAGAGTTGTTGATGTCCAGTCTTTTTGTTATTTCTTTCAATGTGCTATTTTTACATTTCTGTCTCCTGTTTTTACTTTACCTTATGCATTTCTGCCTCATTATGTAAATAAGGTGGGCGGAGCTTCTTGCGTCAGCTCCTCTCCTATTGGTCAACAGACAGGACATAGCAGGATCCATGTGCAGATTGTGCCCATGCTGCCTCAGTTTAGCAACTAGTGATGGGAGCAACAGTTCATTTTGGTATACTGTGTCACTAGAATTAGTTATTAAACAGATTTGTGTCTTTATTCCCATGTTATTTTTATTTGTTCTGTATGCATAAGCAATTTATTTATTGGGCCATTTATGTAGTTTTGTTTTTGATTTTAATTATGTCAGTTGCGGTTCTCTATAGCGGGTTTCAGTGGAATGTAGGAATCTGTTTCATTACATTTCTTTGCATTGTGGATCATAACAGACATGTTGGACACTTAAACGAGATGGTCAAATATAAGAAAGAAAGAAAAAACAAACCAAATAAAAGACAGAAATTCAGTGGAACAAAGCCATTTTTGTGACCGTTAGTTTGAAGGTGTTACCTGCTTCTGAAACAGTGCTGTATGAAATCCTCCAATTTTCAATTATTTTCCCTGTGAGTGAGACTAAAAAAACAATAACAAAACAACAACTTTCCTTTACTAGTATTTAGTGAGAAGTTTTATTTATAGTTTTTCCATTGGCTGTTTTTACCATGTTTTTTTTACTTTTGTGTTTAAAAAATTCCAATAAATTCAGATTTTTTCCCTTGAAACAAATCAAATATAGAGCAGATAATCTGTAATTTACAATCTTTGAACTGTAAGTTCCATGACAAATAACTCCAACTGTTTGCTTGAATAATACAAGATGTTAGCATAATTGTCTTGCCACATGTATTGTGGTTTTTTCATGTTAAATCTGGAAAAAAAGAAAAATAGTCTGTATCAAAAAGTTTTCATTGTGAAAGTTTAAAAAATTCAAAAATGTATTAAAGCTGTCATATTGTCTTCAAAACAAAGAAATTATTCCATTTGTGCATTTGACACATACTGTACACATCAGGTATGAATCCACCTATCAATTCTAAACCATTAGCTTTTTCTTTTCAGGGACATGGGGGTCACTGATGAACATGTCCTGCAGTCACTGTGCATGGAACAGGGTACATCCTGGACAGGTGAGTCCATTGCAGGGCCATACATAGAGACAAACGAGACAAACAACCACTCTTTCACTTAGGCACAAAAGTCATGTCTTTTGTCTGTTGGGGAAGAGTATGTGGAGAAAACTCACACATGCACTGAAAGAACATATAAACTCTACCCAGAAAGGACCACAGCTGAGATTTGATCCAGCAACCTTCTTGCTGAGACGCATCAGCTCTACCAACTGAGAATATTATTCTTTAATTTTTTTTCCTTATTTATTTGTTTTTTAATTTTTTTTACATTGCTGTCGACATCTGTCACCTGTAAATTTGGCTGTCCATTGAAGAACAATACTGTTGAAAAAATATGCGTTGCTCAAAATGGTATGTCTGAATAAACAGGATTCAGCTGGATTTCATGTTAAAACTTTATTTTTGATCTTCTGACTCCAATCAGGTACATTCAGCTCTCAGCAGCACAGGCCTCAGCGTACAACCTTGGGTCAAATCAAAACAAACACGGGAGCTCTGCTCTGAGCAGACACTCTGCAAAACACTGACAACTTCTCTTTACTATAATAATGAATTAACCTTATAATGTTCATCTCTTCCTGGTTACACCCCAGGAGGTGTTACCTTTTATGTCAGACGTCAGAACGTCACTCAGTTTTGTTTAGGCTAAGAGAAAGAACACATAAGACACACACCAACTCTTTGTCAGCTTCAACCTTACAGACTGAAATGATCAGAAAGTATAAAATACAAAACTGAATCTAATATTCAATTAATCAGTTACAAAATTTCTTCAATACAGTGGTGTTTAAAGTCTTTTCACTTTGTACAAAAGAAACTAACAAAAAAACAATTAAAAACAAATGGGGTCTCCTAACACTGGCTGTGAATAATAATAATAATAATAATAATAATAATAATAATAATAATAATAATAATAATAATAATAATAATAATAATAATAATAATAATAATAATAATAATAATAATAATAATAAAACCATCACATTCACAAAACACTGTTTCTGTGTGGGTGGGGCCTCAGCTGCCCTGAGTGATTTGATTTCTATAACAGACATTTAAAGGCTGAAGGGCTTTGGTCACTTCTTTTCTCGCTCTGCTTGAACCCAGACCTGTAATTGACTCTCTCCCCAGGACATAACTCTTTCTCTCAACCAAACACCCCCCACTGGTTTGGGGCTGAGCCAGAAAGACTCCTCAGCCTTGTGAGGTGTAAGGAAAGGGTGGGATCTTATCAGTGGGACCCTTTGGTTTGTCTCGCTGACGTTTGTCAGACAGTGGGTGTTCCACACTGTAGAATCACAAGTCTGCATGCGCGTATGTGGACAGCAGCACCACTGTAAGCGTTTGCTCTGTAACTCCTGCATTTTGGTGTGTATGTGTCAGCTGGAGGAAACAATGCACAACTGGCAGAGGGTGGGGTGAGGTGTGAGTACAGTGACGCCGTGGATGTTGACACAGAGCTCAGAGGACAGGTGGTAAAGTAGATTCATCCCGCTGCTCATCTTCGATGGGACAGTGGGGCTGCCCTTTCTGACCCTTTTGAAATCCACAGAACTAAGACTTCAAAAGGAGTGAGAGAAAGCAGGGAAACAGAGAGGGAGAAAGAGAAAACAGCATGCACGACAGCAGGTGATGGATTGTTAGAAAGAAATAAGCTGAAAAGGGGATTCCCAGCAGATTTACTGCCAAGAGAAGTCTCAGCCCACACAGCATTGAGACTTTGTCAATATAGAAATGTATACAAACCTGTGGAACAAAGAAAGCTTGTGAACTCTTTAGACTGAGGAGTTTTAGTGTCCACTGTAAAACGTTCTTCCATCCACTTTTACCCTCTTCTTCCTTTCAGGGTCACAGGGGTCACTGGTGCCCATATTTAGCAGTCACTGTGCAAAGGGTGGGGTACACCCTGGACAGGACCAGCACAGGACCACACAGAGACAAACAACCTATAAGGACAATTGTTACCAGTTAGCCTAATAGTCAAATTTTTGGTATGTGGGAGGAAACTAGAGTACCTGCAGAAAACCCACATATGAATAGAGAGAACATGCAAACTCTACCCAGAAAGGTCCACACTTGGGATTCAATCTGCCAACCTTTTGCTGAGAGGCAACAGCTCTACCAACTGAGCAGCCACCTTAAAGAGTATTTATGTTCATTTTGAATCTAATGTCAGAAACACTGAGGCAATGTTCACAGTCTGAATGTAACAAATCTGTTTTTTTTTTTTTCAAACCTGATCAAAGTATTATTCCTTTGTGGTACTAAATCAAATATTTAATGCTTTTCAAAGTGACCACGGTGTGAGGATTTGTCCGGAGAATAACCCAGGGCACAGGCAGATTTAAAAATCAAAAAGCAAGGTCTTTAATATAAAACAAAAAGGCTTGACGGGGCAGCACAAAAAACTCATGTGGCTTGGTACAGAGCTCGAGGAACAAGAACACATTAGACAGGCTGGTGAAACAGCACAATGATCAGACAAAGACAAGATGACAAGACACCGAATGTAAAGGCAAACTAATGAGGACAATGAGAAACACCTGGAGCAGACACAAGAGGAAAAAGGTCAGCGAGGGAGGAGCTGCAGGGCAGCGAAACACAGGGAAACACTGAAACACTGAAAAAAAACAAAGAAACCAAAACACAGACCATAACACACGGTTTGGATGGTCATATTGCATTTCATCAGGTTTGTTACATCAGTGAGGTGGGGGTATGTAAATTGATCCAAGTAATTAAACTAGAACTGCAAAGCAGTTATGACCGGGGTCCAAGCCCTTTTATGCATGTCAGCCTTTGTCATGTTGTTTGTAGCATATTGTTGATCTTTTAGC